ATGAAAGGAATTTTATTTTTGAATTATTCTTCATGTTTTTCATTGATTTTGTGTGGCAAATTTGATTTATGATAAATAAGTAAAAACAAGCATCACAATTTTCTTTCTGTGCTGCATATCAGGCTTTGGTTCTCCAAAGTTTTCAAACAATACTGTGAATTTACTAAGGCAAATGGGTGAGACATATAATATAAGAATAATTGCAGCTGAAAATCTTGGGAATAATGATGTTCAAGGCCAGTACATACTACCCCTAAATCCATGGATGGTATGGGAGACCTGATTGGGGCCTCATGCAGTGCTTTGTGATCCTCACTATCTTACCAATATTTGCTTTTCTCTGCTTACATTTAAATATGTTACAAATTAAGCTAAGCACAACTGAGTATTAGGGGATGAAATATTTTCACCAATGTTGAAATCATTCTCAGATCTTTTGTTTTGTCAAAATCCATGAATTTGTTTTACTCATGCTAAGTTTTGAAAAAAACATTATATAAAATTCACTATTTATTATCCCTAATGTTGAATATGTTAAATTATTCAACTTTTTAACAAGAAAATTCTTGAGTTAATGTTACAAATTGCTGCAAAACATTGTTTAAGGTGAAATGATCTAACATGATGTGTCTCTAATTTGAATTTAGTTACATTGTATCTATTTTGAATTTTTCTACTTGAATTGTTCACCTATATTGCTTAGGATCTATTATTGTACAAAATAAAGTTACAATAAAATATGTATTTTATATGAATACTACCTTTATAAAAATTGAATGGGAGGCCCCCATATTATAGATTCAGGGGTGCACAAGACCCTTTCATCAGTCTTGATGGTGTTTATGAATAATTGCTTTTATTGGTGACATTGCAAGATGGGATATCGTTGTTATATTTTCTTGCATTGTAGTTACTCTAAATGCTTTGTTATATTTTTTTACATTTTTGTTTAATCAGTTTTTGGATTCAATTCTGCCATTCTAGATGTCTTTCAAAATTCCGGAATGTCTTTCGAAACTATCTGTCTGCAATAGAGCAAGTTTCTTCATCAATCATGGTTAAAGATAATTTAAATGTCATGCATGTTGCAAAACAGGAATTTCTTCATTGTGACTCGAATGAGAAAAAACTTGCATTAAAAATTAATATTCTTATTGAAACTTTGAAAAATGGTGATGAGGTGTCCTATAAAATAAATGATACTAAGGCCTAGATTTGGAATGGTAATTGAACATGATGGCAACAAACACAAATTCTTGGAGAACTCAAAACAAATAGAAATGCAAGAGAGAGACAGAGACAGAGAGAGAAGGAGATAAATTGAGAGAGAGAGAAATAAAGAAAAAAAGAAATGAAAGAGAGAGAGAGAAAAAGACAGAGCAAATTCCATGAAAAACCAAGTCTTCTAACTTATCCAATGAAAGGGCTTTGATCTTTTTGCCATTGGACCTGGTGCAGTAATTAAACTTGAAGAAAAATTAGCCTTAGTTTACCATATGCATTCATATGCACATTTGTCATTTGGTTAAAGATTCAGACAATAATCCTTATTCATATGTTAAACCTGACTCAGTGTTTTGAATTTTAATGGACTTTTTAAAATAATTCTGCAAAACGTCATTACACTCCACCCCAGAGGATGGCAATAATTCTATCCAATTTGACAAAGTGAAAAAATTAGTGAAGGAAAATAAAGTGACAGTTTGACAGCATTTTCAAAGAATACAAGGATTATTCAAAAAGTTCTAAGCCTCACACAGGAGTTGGAGAAATAAGAGTTTTTCACTATTTTTCAATATAGTCTTCTTTGACATCAATTCACTTGGTTCAATAATGCGTAAGCATTGCAATCCCATCACTGAAGTATGTGGCAGCCTGTTTCACCAAGAACTCCTCCACAGCATATAGGATCTCATCATTGTTTCCAAAATGGCAACCATGCAGAGTAGCATGCTTCATCTACTGCAACCTGAGTAGTGTGAATGGGTGCATTATCCTGGAGCAAGAGCACACCTGCCATTAGCTTCCCTCTACATTTCAACTTGACTGCAGTTGTCTTAATTCTAATGCAAAAGTACTGTCCATTAATAGTTTTTTCCATTTTCCATGTGATTAAGCATCCAGAATCTTAAAAAAGAGAAGCCATCACTTTGCCAACAGACACTGTCTGCTTGAACTTCTTCAGGTGTAGAGAACCAGAGTATTTCCTCTGTTTGAATCTTTGATTAAGGTTTGAAGTGGTTGACCCAGGTCTCATCTTGAGTTACTAATGTGCAGTGGAAATTCTCAGGGTTAGCCTGGAAGTAAGTCAGAAGTGTCCTGGAAGTGTCAACCCTTTTCAACTTCTGCACTGGTATCAGCATTCTTGGAAACCTGCAAAGATCTGCAAGGTGCATACGGCTTGCTCATCCCCAATATCTCAGCCAGAACTAATGCCTATGGACTTAGCTATCTGCTGGACAGTAAGAAATATATCATCCAAAACCATACGGTAAATGGCATCAATTTTTCATCAGTGGTTGAGTTTTGGGGATGACCTGAACAAGGGTCATTTTCTGTGCTGTCCCTAACCTGTTTGAATTCTGTAGTCAAATTTTTTACAGTTGCATTGGAAGTGGAGTCCTCAGCAGTGTCTGTACCATGTTCACATGGATTTCCTTGGGCGTCATACTTTCTTTTGCAGATACTTTATGACTGTTTGGGCCTCTGTTTTGTCTATTTTTAGATTTGCCACACACCTCTCACATTTGTATGGGCCTCATCTGCACAAAAATTGAGACAGAAATTTGACTTAGTTTTTCTAGTTTTATAAGATGTGGTAGTATGCTGCCACAGCAAAAACATTCAGCTATGGTTTTTCTTTCTGGGTGAGGCTTAGAACTTTCTGAACAACCCTTGTATATCCTGATACTAGGGAATATATTTCTGTCAAGATACTAAGTCAAGACGAGAAAGACATGGCAAAATCTATGCATTGTTATAATATTAAATAAAAGTCTGATGGCAGTACTAGTTGGATTGATTTCACTAAATTTAGCAAGTTGAGCATTGTGCCAACTCAAGAGGAAATGTCAATGTTGTTGAACTCAAATGATTTGACAGTTGAAAAGGAAAATGAATTTAATTAATATTTAATTCAAAAAATGAATTTAATTAATATTTAATTAAAACTTTTGAATTGTGACTTCCTTGTATAATAAAGAGTTATTCATAAGCAGGACAGGTGCAAGCGTCTCATGCCCATCCCCGAATCTATGATACTATACCCCCCCCGACATTAGTACATCTTAATTTTCATGAGTTAGTATTGATTATAAAATACAAATTTTATTGTGACCTAATTATGTCCAATAATGGATCATATGCAAAATAGGTGAAAAATTCAAGTAGCAAAACTGAAAATAAATACGTATCTAAATAGAAATATTGTATGTCATAATAGATCATTCTGTCTTGAATTTTTTTTTTTTTTTTTTTTTTTTTAAGCGTTTCACCCCAAGCAAGGTGGGAAGCCACTAGGATGCAAGGGGTTACAGAAAATTTAGAGCAAGATCAGATAGGAGTGATAGAAGATAGGATGAGCAGAAGGGTAGTGGATAGATCAAAGTAACTGGAGATGTCGATTGACATTACATTTGAATAGTTGGAGATTATAGCTCTCAGGGAAACAGGAATAGGGAAGGGAGTTCCACAGGCGAGAGGTGTGAGACATGAAGCTATTGGAGTAGAAGAGACGGCTACATTTAGGAGTTTTGACAGTGAAAGGGAGAGAGCGGGATGCCAGACTCATAGGGCTCTTGATAAATCAACAATGTTTTGTGGCTATTTTTAACATGAGATTTTTCTTGTTAAAAAGTTGAATAATTTAACACATTCAAAATTATGGATAAAACCGAGTAAAACAAGGAAAATAAAAGAACTGAGAATAATGTCAAAATTGATGAACATTTTTTCATCCTTTAATCATCAGTTGTGCTTATTTTAATTTGTAATGTATATAAATGTAAGTTAAAAAAAAGCAAATGTTGATAAGACAGCAAGGATCACAAAGCACTGCCTGGGGCATCCAATCAGGATTGATTTGTGGTGTTTGGGGCAGGTAAACACCCATCCTGTTCATAAGTACAAGACAATTGTAACCTGGAACAATGCAAAACATTATCACACTAAGTCCTTTGTAAATATAGCCAATGCTTCTTTTGTTCCCTTAAGTAAAACACTTAAATTGTGAATAAAGTTTCATCCGCATTTATATGGTCACATATTTTACAGATTACATGGGATAGTGGGTCTCTTTCATATTATTGTAAGTGATTCTAACAATAGTTTTAACGAATAAAGAGCTTTAAAGCCAACTTTATTGCCTGAAAATCCAGTTAAATGTTTTTAAGTTTTCCATTTAAGAACAGAAAAAGACCATAGAGCTGAAGACATCAAAAAATAAAGGATGAATAAGCAGATTTTTTATTTAAGATAATGAAAAGTAATCAAACCTGATTGATTTCCATATGGTCACCATTTTTTAATAAATTTTTATATATTCATATATTACTTGATGATTGAAAGGTTATCACTGGAAAAATATTCCATTGGGAAAATGATCAGATATTGGAGGATAAAGATGAAAAATGACTTGGCATGGGAGAGTAAGAAAGAAAAATCAATATGGAGGCCAACAAGCTTCCATAATGTACAGTATTTAGTTAGTTGCAATAAAATGAGTTTTATTCGTCATTTATTGTGAGCTTCTGATAACAAATATCTTATGAAAACAGCAACTTACTGATTAGTCACACCAATAAAAACAGAATTTATTCACGGTCCAATCAGATCTGAAAACAATTTGGACAGCAATAAATCCATCTATGAAAAAATCTGTAGAGTGGCCTTGGGGCTCTTCATTTCAGGCCTGGCATCTGAAAATGGGGCTGACCAGTAATTAAAGAGACTTTGATGGCATTGGCAACAATGGTAACCAAAGCCAATTCCTGGAAGAGAACTCAATACAAAGAAAGAGTAGGGAAGAGAGACAGACCGAGAAAGAGAGAAAAATTGAGGGAAAAAGAAAATGAAAGAGAAAGGAAAAAGAAAGAGAAAAAGAAAGGAAAAAGAAAGAGAGAGGGAAATGAAAGAGTAAGGAAAAGAAAAAGAAAGAGAGAGAAAGAAAAAGAAAGAAAAAGAGAGAAAGAAAAAAGAAAGAGAGAAAAATTGAGGGAAAGAGAAAATAAAAGAGAAAGGAAAAAGAAAGAGAAAAAGAAAATGAAAGGGAAAAGAAAAAGAAAAGGAAAGGAAAAAGAAAGACAGAGGGAAAATGAAAGAGAAAGGAAAAGAAAAAGAAAAAGAAAGAGAGAGAGAAAAAATAGAGAGACATGAAAAGACGATGGATATAAGAGTAAGACTAATCAAAACAGATAACTGAAATTTTTCAAGATCAGCGTTCCGTTTCAATATGATCACGTCGACGTCTTTTCATGTTGAATTAAATATAGTCTAATGTTAATTATGTTTTATGAATATGTCCTGAAGATGGTCTACTAGACCGAAACGTCTGACGTTGGCATTATATTAACATTAAAACAGCATAATTGCATATTAGGATTTTTGTTTGTTTTTTTCCGTATATTTTTCTTCATACTCTCAGATCTATATCCATATATTTGCTTACATATATATATATATATATATATATATATATATATATATATATATATATATATATATATATATATATATATATAAAGAAAAGAGAAGCTGCAAACGTTTTTTGGTTATAATGTGGATTTTTTAAAATATATATATTATACTTTATTTTCCATATGGTAAATAAAGTATAATATATATTTAAAAAAAATGCAAAATAAAGTATAAAAATTTTTGCAGCTTTATTTTAAAAAATACACTTTTCTCCTTGGAACAACTTTATATATATATATATATATATATATATATATATATATATATATATATATATATGCATGTGTGCATGTCTGTATGTGTATGCATGTATTATGAAAAATGTAAACAATTGATTTTCTAAAGAAAGTAATAGATTACAAACAAAATTTTATCACTTTAAATATTATTTTTAGTGGATACTCATACTTAAGTAGATGATCCATTTATTTATTAAATAATATATTTATTTATTTATTGCTTAGCAGCCTGAATATATATATTTTTATTAACAAAAATTTGCATTCTCTGACAGGATTGGAACCTGCACCTCTCTAGAACAGAGGGATCTACCATTAGATCCTAGTAAGCTCTGACCAACTGAACTACAAGGAATCAATCAGTTGGGTAAAGCCAAAATTGTAAGTGAAACCTCTCTCTTTTGAATTCTTCCAGAGAACATAAATTTTCTTTAATAAGATTTCTCAAACTGGTGGACAAAAATAAATAAATAGAATGTTTAATAATTAAATGAAGCATCTACTAAAATATGAGTAGCTACTAAAAATAACATTTAAAATGATAAAAAATAATTGATTATAAATTTCTGATTTGCTAACCATTAGTTACTGATACAAATGGAGCATGTGATCTCCTATGATTGTTGGTTAAACTGACTGATGGGAAAAAATTGAATCACAATGACTTTGCTATTCTATAATTAATTTCCAATGAATCTAAAAGAAAGATCGATTATGTCCACAAGTAAATTGCTGAACACAGGATTTTTTTGATTTTTTTTCAATACAGGAAAATCAGTTGCATAATGAGACTTGAATTATGAATGACCTTTTGACCCAAACTCTCTTTGAATAGTTAATCCCATAATATTATCACTGGAAATGTTATTAATTGCATATTATTATCATTGGAAATTTGTATATTTTCTTTTTTTTCTCTTTTCTTCTAATTTTATATGATGTTTTTTTATTATTACCTTATTGAGTTATATTTTTCCTGATAAAGAAATTATTTCATGACATTTTCTGCTTCGCTTTAAAATAAGCAATTATTTTGACTTGAATTTTTGTTGGATATTGTCACATCAGCAAAAATTTGTATTTTATAGATTTTTTTAAGCCAAAATTTTGTTTTTTTATTGTTTTATTTGTTTAAAGAAACTAATTTATGTAATTGCTAGACTTTACAAGCAACAATGAAGCAACAGAAATTTGGTTCTACAGAAGCATACTGAGGATGCCATGGACCGAACATGTGAGCAACAACAAAGTTTTTGAGAAAATGGAAACAAAAAGGAAACTTATACTTAACATCAGGAAAAGATGATTGAAATTTCTAGGGCACTTAATGAGAAAAGAAGGTTTGGAAAATCTGATACTCAGAGGAAAGATTGAAGGCAATAGGAACAGAGGAAAACAACTCATAGCCTACTTGAGTAAATGGATGTTGGAAAAGGTTTAGAAGAAATAAGAAAGAGTTATGAAGGACAGGAAATTGTGGAGAACCATGATCACCTACATTCACAGTATATGTGTTTGTAGATGTAAATTTTAACTTGAGGATGATGAAAAGAGCAAGATGTGTAGGCACATTATTCAAAAGACTATTTAAATTTAGCATCTGATTCTCTATTTAAACAGCTTCTGCTAATTACAAATATAATGTAAAACAGGTAAATGACATTTCTAATTTATTGACCAATGAAAATACACTATACTCTATAATTCCCTGAACCTCTTACAAATCCCCCTAAAGTTTAAATAGTCCAAGACGAAACAGAAAATCGTTTTTCTCTCTCAACAGCAGTCATCACCCAACTATAACATTAATGTCAGGAACACAAACCAGGCCAATTTCAGCAAACAGTAAGTCATTCCTACTAACACACACAGAAAAAAAACATTTTCTCCCTCAGACATACACTATAGACTAAAAAACACTGAACTCTTCTTTTTTTACAAAAGCAAACAATTCTATTTTAATTTTATATCAACAGATACTCACTAAATGTATATCTCTGTTAAATTTTGTCATTATTATAAAACACATTTGTTGCTATGTATCCAGTTTGTCTTTTTACTTCATTCAAAATCTTGTCATTTGTAAGATGTGTTAATGCCTTCAACAAACAACAGAAGTAAAGTGAAATATTTCATAATTTATTTAAAAGAGCATGATAGCCTCATCACTACTCTTCTTCAATTAAAGGAACAGGGTCTAATGGGTAAATTATTGGTATTTTATATTTTTAATTTCGTGCATGCATGGTTTGTTTTTGATTTTGTTGACTGCTCAGTATAGTAGGGTCCATTGAACACCATTGGTGAGAAAAAGAGCCCCATGATGCAATTCACTCAGCCAGAAATTTTGAAACACCATGCTGTACTGCTTGGAATTCATGTTGGAATCTTCAATATGAACATTTCAGAGTTTTGAGGTGTCAATAAGGGGACAGTACAGAGGACTTGGAAAGAGTTGGATGAGTCTAATGACATTTACAAAGGTACAGCAACTTGGAAAACTCATTCTGATCATTCTGATGACAAAAGAACTCTCAAATTTGTAAGGGCCTCCGACTCAACACAGAGGCTTACATCAAGTGCCTTGAGGAGGTAGCACTACCCTGGATCAAGAGGGAGGCTGCTGGAAGACTCTGTGACTGGCAATAGTACTCTGCAATATACTACACAAGAAGTAGTACCCAGTAATGGCTGTCAGACAATTTCCACAGCCACATCACCTCTTACATCTGGTCACCTAACTGCCCAAACTGCAATCTCCTTGATCATTATATGTGGGGCACAGTTGAGCAAGCAGCCAACAAAACTCCTTGTAGTACCAGAGATGAACTGAAAGCAAGGATTATTGTAGCATTCACAAATTTAAAAATGGAGACCGTCCAGAAGAGTTGTAGGAGATTCTGAAGTCGTCTGGTTGAAGCCAGCAGCAACTGTATTATTCAATACAGTTTATTCTTTAGTATTTCAAGATATTTTTGTGTAATTTTGGTAAATATATCTGTCAAAATGAGATATCAGATATCTGTCAAAATGAGATATCAGTGTTATTTTCATTTTTGCATAATTTAGATGACAATTTATCCATCGCCTCCTATACATACATACATATATATATATATATATATATATATGGTAATAAAATAAGCACATCCCATCCCCCCTCTCACTTGTAACCATTCACTATAATAAAATAAATGTTGAAACTGAATTAGTAAATTAAAGCTTCATAAGCTTCTACTTAGAACTGTTACAATTTTTCACACACACACACACATATATATATATATATATATATATATATATATATATATATATATATACAATGCAATGAATTATTAATGAGCTAACAATTTTCCATTTTGTCCAAAAACTATACATTGGAATTTAACATAATTTTCACAGAATGATGGCAACGTTTATATGTATGCTGTGTAAAAACTGTCAGGTTCTGTATAAGTATAAACAAACCACAGCCATTTGCATGAGTAACACAATACTTCAGTTTTCCAAATTATTAACAAGTGACTTCATAATCATGCAATTATGATTTGCAATTGTGACTGAACTGCTTCTGAGAAGTCGGTTATAACATCCGAACTTGTAAAAGGTAAATCAACATTAGAAATATCCAAAATGTGTGAAAGATATCACCAAACTGGGAAAAGGTTTGTTGCAGCTCCTACAAAAGTAAGTAAGAGGGCTGATAAGGGTAACTCAAGGGTTGTTACCCAATGTTCTCTGTCACAATTTAAATGTGAAGCTGTAAATAACCCAGGCCTAACCAGCAGAGAATTTTTCAAGTGCATTGGAGAAAGATCTATGTTCAGAACTACTCAATGTCATCTTCTGGGAAAGGTTACCTCCATTAACCAAAAGACACATACAAAAGTGTCTGAAATGGGCAGAAGATAACATGAAGATCAACTTCTTGATGGTTTTGTTCACGGATGAATCTCATGCTACTATTGATGACCCTGACAGTTGGGGTAAATGTTTGCTCATAAACAGACAACACTGTCATCAACACTTAAGGCACAAATAAGGAGGAGTATCATGATTTGGGCTGGTATTATTAGAGGTATCATGGTTGATGTGTGGAAAATGCCTGACTGTATTAAAATGACAGCAGATGCTTATATAGCTCTCCTGAGAGAGCTCCTTGAACCTTGGTTCAAAGATCAAGAGAACCAGCATATCTATGTAAGATAATGTTCCCTCACATGCAATGCATAAAACTATGGATTACCTGCAACAATTAGGTTTCTGTGGACCTCAGAAAATGAACTGGCCAACCAATTCTCCAGACTTAAACCCAGTCGGAAAATTTGTAGTGCATTCAGAAGTGATGGGTTTATGAGAATGGATGCCAATTTAGAAGCAAGAAGGACTTGTGGCAAGCAATAGTGAATGTATCACATGGAATTACATCAGAGGAGATCTAGAGATTGACATGTTCCATGGACCA